TAAGCACTTTGGTCAATCATGGTTGTTCTTAAACGTGCTATATAAATAAACTTGAACTGAACTGAACTGAACAAGTGAGGGTGCGGGCGCTACGGTCTGCACAAGCGCTGGAAAGGGCCGGAAGTGATCTCTTGCGCGTGTACGTCACTCATTGTTTACACAGAACAGATATTATAGGTAAGACGGCTAATTAAAATGGTACTAATTTGCGCTTATCCGGGATGTTTAAACCGTCGTAAAAGAAAACAATTTAAAAAAATAAAAAATAAAACAATTGTATCAGTGACGTACACGTGCGAGAGATCACTTCCAGCGCTTGCCGGAAAAGACAGAAGCGCCGGCGCCGTCAGATCACTTGGACGTGGCTGTGGTTACAAGAGGTAAAAACGATATAAATACTGTTCGTTTTCTCACACAAACCGCTCGTTTCGTGTCTTAGGCCATCAATGTGTACTTACATTTACGAGTCATTAAATCATGTTTAATTTGGACTTCTCTGTGCATGCTCTTTGAGGTGGTGACCATAGACCTGCATTATATGACTGACAGACAAGAACGGTTTGACCTAAAAATATCAAAATTGAAACTACTGCGGAAACAAAGACACCTACATCTTGGATGCCCTTGAGGTAAGCTAAAACACACCAAAAATTAATTTCAAAGTGAACTATCCCTTTAACTCTGGTTTTAATTCAGTGCATGGTATTATTAAGTCAAGTCAAGTCATCTTCATTTATATAGCGCTTTTAACAATGGATTGTTTCAAAGCAGCTTTACAGAGATAAACATATCATTTAAGGTAACAGATTGTTTTGGCGTTATAGCGGTTCTTGAATAATGTTACTTCCAGCTAAAGTTAACTTTGATTCACCTCCGTCGAAATGATCAGACTTTAAACGCGAACCTGTGATTAACGCTGACGGCGTTCACATGCTCATTCAGAATTCTATAGTTATGTGCTTTTTAAAATATGTGCGCAGGTTTGTAATTCATACAACCCAGCCTAAACAAACTACTTTTCTTGCCTAAAAATTTTGATACAAAATTTTGTTTTATTTTATCACTTCGGGGTACGCGAGCCGGAATTCACAACGCTTTATCTGTAGAGTGGGAAAGGGATTCTCCATAGGGAGAGGATAGTGGATACTTCAGCACTGCATTGTCATCGGGTCCAGGCAAAGCTCCCTCGTCAGATCTGGACACGGCCTGGATCCGGCAGGCTGCGGGAAAACCTCGGGATAAACAAAGACACTAATATTAGCGTAGATGCCATTCTTCTTATGATGTAGCGAGTACATCAAGATTTAAGGGAAGTGTTCCCAGTTCCGGCTGACCTAATCTATGCAGCCTAACATTGAATTTAAAGAAGTCTATAATGTATTGTGTATGCTAGGTCAAAGAGATGTGTTTTTAGTCTAGCTTTGAACTGACAGAGTGTGTCTGCTTCCCGGACAATGGTAGGAAGACTGTTCCAAAGTTTTGGTGCTAAATAGGAAAAGGATCTACCGCCTGCAGTCGATTTAGATATTCTAGGTATTATCAACTGGCCGGAATTTTGAGATCGCAATAGACGTGAAGGACTCTAATGCGTTAAGAGCTCGCTCAAGTACTGCGGATTTAAACCATTTAGTGCTTTGTAGGTAATCAACAATATTTTAAAATTTATACGATGTTTAATAGGGAGCCAATGCAGTGTTGACAGAACCGGGCTAATATGGTCATATTTCCTGGTTCTGGTAAGAACTCGAGCTGCGGCGTTTTGAACTAGCTGTAGTTTGTTTATTAAGCGTGCAGGGCAACCACCCAGTAGAGCATTACAATAATCTAGCCTTGAGGTCATGAACGCATGGACTAATTGTTCCGCATTTCCCAATGAGAGCATATGGCGTATTTTAGATATATTTTTAAGATGGAAAAATGCAGTTTTACAGATACTAGACACGTGGCTTTCAAAAGAAAGGTTGGTATCAAATAGCACACCCAGGTTCCTAACCGACGACGAAGACTTGACAGAGCAGCCATTAAGTGTTAGACCGTATTCTGGGTTATTACGTGTGGAAGTTTTTTGTCCAATAATTAGAATCTCTGTCTTTTCAGAATTTAGTAGTAGGAAATTACTAGTCATCCAATTTTTTATATTAGCTATGCATTCCGTTAATTTTGTGAATTGGTAAGTTTCGTTGGGTTTTGAAGAAATATACAGCTGAGTATCATCGGCATAACAGTGAAAGCTAACTCCATGTTTCCTAATGATATCTCCTAATGGTAGCATGTACAGAGTGAACAGCAGCAGTCCTAGTACTGAGCCTTGTGGTACGCCATACTGAACTTGTGATCGATAAGACATCTCTTCATTTACTGCTACAAACTGATAACGGTCAGTTAAGTATGATTTAAACTATGCTAATGCAATTCCACTAATGCCAACATAGTTTTCTAGTCTATTTAAAAGAATGTTGTGGTCAATGGTGTCAAATGCAGCACTAAGATCGAGTAACACTAATAGAGAGATACAACCACGATCGGATGATAAGAGCAAATCATTTGTGACTCTAATGAGAGCTGTCTCGGTACTATGGTACGGTCTAAATCCGGACTGAAAATCCTCGCAGATATCATTTCTTTCTAGAAAGGAACATAGTTGTGAAGATACTGCTTTTTCTAATATCTTTGACAGAAAAGGCAGATTCGAGATCGGCCTGTAATTGACTAATTCTGTAGGATCAAGTTGTGGTTTTTTAACAAGCGGTTTTATCATAGCCAGTTTAAAGGTTTTTGGTACGTATCCAAGAGACAAAGATGAATTAATGATATTAAGAAGAGGATCTATGACCTCTGGAAACATCTCTTTCAGTAGCTTAGTCGGTATAGGATCTAACATACAAGTTGTCGATTTAGATGAATTAACGAGTTTGCAGAATTCTTCCTCTCCTATAGCAACAAATAAAACAAATTTTTCCTCAGGGAGACTACAATGCACTTCCTGATGCGATACTGTGGTAGACGGTGGCATAGTTATAATTTTGTCCCTGATATTATCAATCTTATAAGTGAAGAAGTTCATAAAGTCATCACTGCTTTGTTGCTTTGACACTTCTGAGCTTGAAGCTTTCTTTTTCGTTAGTTTAGCCACTGTTTCAAATAAATACCTAGGATTATGTTTATTTTCTTCTAATAGGTTTGAAAAATAAGCAGATCTAGCAGCTTTTAAAGCCTCTCTGTAAGCAATCGAGCTCTCTTTCCACGAAATCCGAAATACCTCTAGTTTAGTTTTCTTCCAGTTGCGCTCCATTTTTCTGGCTGCTCTCTTAAGGGCCTGAGTGTGCTCGCTGTACCACGGCATTGGACTATTTTCTTCAATCTTCTTTAAGCGCAACGGAGCAACTGCGTCTTAAGTGCTGGAAAAGAGAGAGTTAAACGTTTCTGTTGCAATATCAAGTTCTTCTAAGCTATCCGGGATGCTGAGATGATGAAACTGATTAGGAAGATTATTGATAAAGCAATCTTTAGTGGCAGAAGTTATAGGTCTAACGTATTTATAACACGGAGTCGGCTTTGCAGCCTTGGCTAAATGTAATTTACATGAGACTAGATAATGATCTGAGATGTCATCGCTCTGCTGCAGAATTTCAACGGCATCAATATCTATTCCATGTGATAATATTAGATCTAGAGTATGATTACGACAATGAGTAGGTCCTGACACGTGTTGTCTAACTCCAATTGAGTTTACAATGTCTTTAAATGCCAATCCCAAAGCATCTTTTTCATTATCTACATGTATATTAAAATCACCAACAATTAGTACTTTATCTGCAGCCAATACTAAATCTGATAGAAAGTCTGCAAATTCTTTGATAAAATCTTTATGGTGCCCTGGTAGCCTGTATACAGTAGCCAGCATAATTCTCAAATGTGATTTATCGTTTACACTATATATTTTTACATTAAGCACCAATACTTCAAAAGAAGTATATTTAAACCTACATTTCTTAGTGGTTTTGAAAATATTACTATAAATTACAGCAACACCTCCCCCTTTGCCTTTCAGACGAGGTTCATTTTTATAACTGTAATCTTGTGGGGTTGACTCATTTAAAATAATGTAATCGTTTGGTTTTAGCCAGGTTTCTGTCAAACACAGCATATCAAGATTATAATCTGAAATCATATCATTAACTATGAGATATTTTGAAGTAAGGGATCGAATATTCAGCAACCCAAGCTTTATCATTTGCTCATCTGTATTATATCTGTTTTTTATTTGTTGAACATCAATTACATTTTTAACCTGACGTTTTTTGGATTTCCAAATTCGGGGAACAGACACAGTCTCTATATGATAATATCTAGGTGAAAGAGGCTCTGTGTGATGGGATTTATCTGACCTTGGTGACGTGAGGCCGCTAGCAGACGGTCGGTTTAGCCAGTCGGTCTGCTTCCTGACCTGAGCCCCAGATTGTCATGTTTTAGCTCTAAGACTATGAGCCAAATTACTAGAGAGAAGAGCAGCACCAGCCCAGGAGGGATGAATACCATCTCTTTTCAACAGATCAGGCTTGCCCCAAAAACTTTTCCAATTGTCTATGAATTTTATATTATTCAGCGGACACCACTTCGACAGCCAACCATTCAGTGAGGCCAATCGGCTAACTATCTCATCACTCCTGCGTACAGGAAGGGGGCCAGAGCAAATTACAGTGCCTGACATCGTACTTGCGAGTTCACACACCTCTTTAATATAATATACTGTAAATTCACAGCTGCTCTTGTTTTGCTGGTTTTACAGTATAGTTGTAGTTTATGATTTACGGTGCTCTTGTAAGTGTAAGGTTTACTGGCTACCAAAATTGCCAGTAAGGTTCTGTAAATTTTACAGCATTTTTTTTACAGTGGGAACTCAATGGAAGGAGAAGTCTAGTGTGGTCGGCCCTTACTAAATTCAAAAGTTTTAAAAGATTAGCTTAAAATGGAATCAAACTTTTTTTCTTTCATTTCAGACCTGATGGAAGTGAAGGAGGAGAATGAAGAACTGAGTGAAGTGAAGGAGGAGAGAGAAGAACTGAGTGAAGTGAAGGAGGAGAGAGAAGAACTGAGTGAAGTGAAGGAGGAGAGAGAAGAACTGAGTGAAGTGAAGGAGGAGAGAGAAGAACTGAGTGAAGTGAAGGAGGAGAATGAAGAACTGAGAGAAGTGAAGGAGGAACATCATGTCCAACCTGGAGGAAACCCCTTGAGTCGCTCAAAGACTAAACAGACATTTTTAAAGAAAAGAAGTGCAGAGAAATCTTTCGCCTGCACTCAGTGTGGAAAGAGTCTCACAACCAAAAAACATCTTGAGATTCACATGAGAGTTCACACCGGAGAGAAGCCGTTCACATGTGATCAGTGCGGGAAGAGTTTCACACAATCATCATCCCTTAATGTTCACATGAGGATCCACACCGGAGAGAAGCCGTTCTCATGTGATCAGTGTGGGAAGAGTTTCACGCAATCAGTACACCTTAAAGAACACATGAAGATCCACACTGGACAGAAGCCGTTCACATGTCATCAATGTAGAAAAAGATTTCCTTGGGAATCAGACCTGAAGACACACCTGAGAGTTCATACGGAGGAGAAGCCGCATTCATGTTCTGTGTGTGGAAAGAGTTTTTCACTGCTGCAATATTTACATGTACATCAGAAAATACACACTGGTGTGAGAGAGTACATGTGCTCTGAGTGTGAGAAGACTTTTATTTCTGCAAACTGTTTAAAACTGCACCAGAGAATTCACACTGGAGAAAAACCTTACAAGTGTTCACACTGTGACAAGAGATTCAGTCATTCAGCAAATCAGAAAGCACATGAGAGGATCCACACTGGAGAAAAACCTAACAAGTGTTCACACTGTGACAAGAGATTCAGTCGGTCACAACATCTGAAAAAACATGAGATGATCCACACTGGAGAGAAGCCGCACACGTGTGATCACTGTGGAAAGAGTTTCTCCATTAAAAGTCGCCTGAAGATACACATGAGGATCCACACAGTGGAGAAACCATGTTTGCAGTATTTAGTTTGATCAAACTCTTCATCTGTGTTTTTGTAACTCCTCATCTCTCTCTGCTGTGATCATGAAATACTCATTGTATTTGTAAACAGAAAACTGTGAAATTTACAGTAACTTGCTGGCAGCAATTAGCAAGTCATTTGCTGTAGTTCATTTCACAGTATGCTTACTGTAAATTTAATCTCAGTAACTTTAAAAATACTGTAAACATTTTTATAGTAATAATCACAGTACTGTTTCATCACCACAAATATTGTATTTATTATTTTATTAATTACTGTAATATGGATTACTGCATTCATTTTGTGTACTCCAAAATGAAGACACTGTTCTTGACATTTATTGACAACTTTTCACACTAAATTTCAAAATGTATAGAATAAAAAAAAAACATAGCATACATTGTTTTAATAGGTAAACATTTTCTGTGAATATTTTGTTTTGTTTTGTATATTATGGAGTGCCGCAAGGATCGGTGTTAGGCTCTCTGCTATTCTCAATATATATGATGCCACTTGGTAATATTATAAGAAAACATGGAATTAATTTCCACTGCTATGCTGATGACACTCAATTATATATTTCATCACGACCAGATGAAAACACTAACTTATCTAAATTGACAGAATGTCTTAAAGATATAAAATGCTGGATGACGTGTAATTTCCTGCTATTAAATCTAGATAAAACTGAGGTATTACTTATTGGTCCAAAAATCTACCCACAAAATCTCTTACAATACAACTTTAATTTAGAAGGATGTCCTGTTACTTTATCCACTACAGTAAAAGACCTGGGTGTTATACTAGACCGCAACTTGTCTTTCGAAAATCATATTTCATATGTTACAAGAACTGCCTTTCTCCACCTTAGAAACATTGCTAAGCTACGTAACATGCTATCTGTTTCTGATGCAGAAAAGTTAGTTCATGCATTCATGACCTCGAGACTAGATTACTGTAATGCCTTATTAGCTGGTTGTCCTGCATCCTCAATAAACAAGCTACAGTTAGTCCAAAATGCAGCCGCTAGAGTTCTTACTAGATCAAGAAAATATGATCATATAACACCGATTTTATCATCTCTACATTGGTTACCTATTAAGTTCCGTATCAATTACAAAGTACTACTACTGACCTATAAAGCCCTAAATGGTTTAGCTCCTGTGTATTTAATGGACCTTCTATCGCCCTACAATCCATCGCGTTCTTTAAGATCCCTAAATTCGAGGCTTCTGGTCATTCCTAGGATATCTAAGTCCACTAAAGGAGGGAGGGCGTTCTCACATTTAGCTCCTAAACTCTGGAATAGCCTTCCTGATACTGTTCGTTGCTCAGACTCGCTCTCCCAGTTCAAAACTAGATTAAAGACGCATCTCTTCAGCCAATAATTCACATAATGCTTACCTTTTATACCACTGTTGAATCAGATCGAATGCATTAATATTATGAACAGCACCTACGCTAATTATTTCCCATCTGCTTTTCTGCTGTTATCTCGGGACGCTAGTCGAGGTAAATAGCGTTTGTCAGCTCCAGTTTGTATCCAGCCTCTCACGGAGACTTCAGATGCCCCAACACCTGCGATGAGACGACTAAACGCCTGTGAAGAGACGACTCAACGCCGGCGATATGTTATGCCCTAAATTAATACATGATTAACTAACTATGTTAACTATTTTTCTATGTACATTTCTGAAATGCACTTTCTGTAAAGCTGCTTTGAAACAATATGTATTGTGAAAAGCGCTATACAAATAAATTTGAATTGAATTGAATATACAACAACACTTTTCTGAACATACAAATCAATCATGTTCAAGCTTTATTAAAATGTTCGATTAAATTAGAAATGTATAAAAGACTACTTAAATGATTTAAAAACAGCAGGATATTAAACTGTAGAATTTGGTTCCCGAGCGTTGTTTTTCTCCCAGAACTATAAAACTGGACCTGAACTAGTCATCTTCCTAGGCTGGAGTCTTCTTACCTGCAGTGGAAGAAATTAAATAGTAATGTAAAAATTTATAAGCAAGACAGATGGGTTGATGACAATATACGGTATATACAAGTTTGATTGGCTAAATCAAATGATCCAATCAACATGTAATACAATGTCCACTTCTCTATAAACCACAACTCACACTTAAAACAGAGGTGTCCACACTTGTTTTTAAAGGGGGCCAAATTTGATTTGTGGACACGATGGGGGGCCAGATAATGTCATTGTCAACTGTTGTCATTTCCAAAAGAGCAAAACATGTATGCTAATACAGGTGCTGGTCATATAATTAGAATATCATCAAAAAGTTGATTTATTTCAGTAATTCCATACAAAAAGTGAAACTTGGATATTATATTCATTCATTACACACAGACTGATATATTTCAAATGTTTATTTCATTTAATTGAGATGATTATAACTGACAACTAATGAAAACACCCAAATTCAGTATCTCCGAAAATTAGAATATTACTTAAGAACAATACAAAAAAAGGGATTTTTCAAAATGTTGGCCAACTGAAAAGTATGAGCATGAAAAGTATGAGCATGTACAGCATTCGATACTTAGTTTGGGCTCCTTTTGCCTGAATTACTGAAGCAATGCAGCGTGGCGTGGAGTCGATCATCTGTGGCACTGCTCAGGTGTTATGAGAGGCCAGGTTGCTCTGATAGTGGCCTTCAGCTCTTCTGCATTGTTGGGTCTGGCGTATCATATTTCAGATCGTACCGCCCCAGCTCGAGCCATTCCAGTCCACCACAGCTCGAGCCATTCCAGTCCACCACAGCTCGAGCCAGTCCAGTCCAGTCCACCCCAGCTCGAGCCAGTCCAGTCCAGTCCACCCCAGCTCGAGCCAGTCCAGTCCACCACAGCTCGAGCCAGTCCAGTCCAGTCCACCACAGCTCGAGCCAGTCCAGTCCAGTCCACCCCAGCTCGAGCCAGTCCAGTCCAGTCCACCACAGCTCGAGCCAGTCCAGTCCAGTCCACCACAGCTCGAGCCAGTCCAGTCCAGTCCACCCCAGCTCGAGCCAGTCCAGTCCAGTCCACCACAGCTCGAGCCAGTCCAGTCCAGTCCACCACAGCTCGAGCCAGTCCAGTCCACCCCAGCTCGAGCCAGTCCAGTCCAGTCCACCCCAGCTCGAGCCAGTCCAGTCCAGTCTGCCCTAGCTCGAGCCAGTCCAGTCCGCCCCAGTTAGAGCCAGTCCAGTCCAGTCCGCCCCAGCTCGAGCCAGTCCAGTCCGCCCCAGCTTGAGCCAGTCCAGTCCGCCCCAGCTCGAGTCAGTCCAGTCCGCCCCAGCTCGAGTCAGTCCAGTCCGCCCCAGCTCGAGTCAGTCCGCCCCAGCTCGAGCCAGTCCAGTCCAGTCCGCCCCAGCTCGAGCCAGTCCAGTCTGCCCCAGCTTGAGCCAGTCCAGTCCAGTCCGCCCCAGCTTGAGCCAGTCCAGTCCAGTCCAGTCCGCCCCAGCTCGAGCCAGTCCAGTCCAGTCCGCCCCAGCCCGAGCCAGTCCAGTCCAGTCCACCACAGCTCGAGCCAGTCCAGTCCGCCCCAGCTCGAGCCAGTCCAGTCCAGTCCGCCCCAGCTCGAGCCAGTCCAGTCTGCCCCAGCTTGAGCCAGTCCAGTCCAGTCCGCCCCAGCTTGAGCCAGTCCAGTCCAGTCCAGTCCGCCCCAGCTCGAGCCAGTCCAGTCCAGTCCGCCCCAGCCCGAGCCAGTCCAGTCAAATTCTGTCATTTATTACTCCCCCGAATGTCATTCCAAACCAAAAGACCAGCATTTCTTCTTTGCAAAACTGTAGGAAAAAGCAGGGAAACTGCCTATGTGAATGTTATTGATTTATTTGTATATCTTATATTTATACTTATTCTTTGATATTTCAGACCACTCACTGTTACCATTCAAACTGAACCATCAGTAAACTTCCAACTCTGGAGTCTTATGTGTTCTTGCCGACACACCAGTGTGGACAAACCAGTTCCCCTTTCAGCATTCGCGCTTAGTCTCACTGTGGAGGCAGACGGGAAGCACAGTATATTTACTCTCTCATACATATGTCTTGTTTACGGTCTCTTTATCTTTATGTACACTTTATCACAGTGTACATCGTGTTAAAACTTTGTTGATAAACTTCATGACGTGTATGCGTTAGCGAACTCTCTTTGAAAGTGTCAGGAGTGAGAGAGTAGGACTTCCGGTGTGTTTTTGCTCATTTTGCCTCGTACAACTCTTCTTTAAAGGTATGTTTGCATACTTAATGGTTATATAATTTGTTTTAAGTTTCAATGTGATTGAATAGCAGTCTAAGAGATATAACATTTGTTAGACTAACATCGTCATTTACCATTTTGAATGGTCATGCATTATTCCCTCATTGGCACCGTTGGCCACACACATGGAGTCCACAGTTCATAGAGACATGCTTTCTGTTTACTTTACTTTCCAGTAAAACATCTATGGGGACCAGTTACCAGTACAATATGGGCCTGATAGCACTCCTCATTAGGCGCTCATACTTTTCAAACAGATTATCTAGTCTCCCAGTCAGTTTAGTTACAACTCTGCAATAAAGCAAGATGGAAAGCAATCTATTGACATTGACTATTTTGCATTTAAAATGTTGATTGGCTGGACATACTGGCCAATATGGATGCACATAAGCTTTTATCATTTAAAACACAGTGACATGCAATGGCAAGCCATTTTAGCTTTTATTAATTCACAGGATGCATTTTTTATATCAATAATTAAAATTGTACTATTTTAAAATGTGAATTTTTGATATTAGTATAAAAGATGTCTATTTCTGATATCAGGAATTACATTTTTATTAGTACTAACTAAACGAGGGAGGATTGTAGTGGGAGAACTGGGGTTTCAGGTGTGACTGTGTGACAATGGCAAATGGCTTACATGGCTCATGGGTCAGGTAGGAGGGCCCATTAACAGATTTTTGCTTAGGGCCCCAGGGAGGTCAGGATCGGCTCTGATGCTACTGTATGTGAATAAACAAACGCCATCGCACACCTGTAGGTGATAGGTGCGTAGGAAAGGAAGACCATGCGAACTCCCGCATATTATCAGTACTTGCAAATAAAACTTTAATTTAGCGGTTGCTGTATATGGAAATGAATATTTCAAAAGTATATTTTATAGTACGCTATAGAATAGGAAAATTACAATACTTTTGACCTAATTTCTTCACTTGCAAGAAATAAACCCTTGAGTTTTTATTTTGGAGAAAACACCAGATCACCATGCTGATCGCGTGAGCAAAGTGCGCACTTTTCTTTAAATCACGCAGCACAAACAGAATGCCAACTTAATTAAAGTCTTATGCTGTTAGTCTAAAAAACGAAATATAATACCAAAAACACTCAACATGTCAACAAAATATAAACATAACATCTTCCTAATCCCAAACACATATCAAGCTTCTTTAAAAACCTCGAAAGCAAACACTCGTTCCAAGTACCTGGAAAAGGGAGATGTAAATAACCATAACCATAAGTTCCCGCCGGACTCCTCGGCACGAGCTGACCGATAAAGCAAGCAACACACCAAGAGAGGCGGGACTTAAGGCAGAACAGCCCAATAGTATCTGTCTGCAGTCTGCAAGACTTCGAGTTACGCCCCTTCAAGTTACGCCCACTTTTAGTCACGCCCCTTCAAGTTATGCCTACTTCCAAATTACCGCGACAACAGTTCCATTTGCTCTCGCACGAGTTTAACATAAACGAGAACAGTTTCATATGCTCTCGCACGAGTTTAACATAAACGAGAACAGTTTCATATGCTCTCGCACGAGTTTAACATAAACGAGAACAGTTTCATATGCTCTCGCACGAGTTTAACATAAACGAGAACAGTTAATTACCTCCAGAACAGTTTCATTATGCTCTCGCACGAGTTTAACATAACAGAAACCTCTGAGATGATATCTTCAAAATTCTTATTTTGTTTTGTCTGTATACAGCAAAGCAAGTTGCAATCTGCATTAGCACCAATGTATTGATAATGTATTGCTAGAAACCATATTGCAATGTAATGTTTTTTTATATAAATATTTTTAAACATCTTTCCATGTCGTATGCCTGATGTGCTGACAATTTATTTTTGACAACACTAATGAACAGTTAAATGCACCGCTGTCAAACACATCTTATAATACTTTGAGACAAATTAACTACAAGCACAGTCATCACAAAAACTTGTATTGAAGGACAACAAGGGTTTATGCAAACAAAACCTATAAGTTCTGAACTTCTGGAAATTCAGACCGTGCCTCCAGCCGCAAAAAAAAACAGTCCATGCTGCAGTATCCTGCAAAGTCATTTTCACAGTAGAACCCTTGTAGGTTTCCTCTTCGTCCACATCCCCAGTATCCTTCACAGTCTTTATACAGGTCATTGCATAGAATGCAACGGGAGACCATAGGGAACTCTGTAGGTCCTTCTATGGTCCTCTGAAAAGGAGTTCCAGTTTACCACACCTGATGACAAAAGTAGTATGTGTAAAACTTGTTTGCATTTTTTTTCTTATTTTTAATACGAAATTTTCTGGTAGCAGTGTGTCTTCAGTATTCATTTTATTAGTGGTGTGCCTCCACAATTTTTTTTTAGCAATTAAAAGATACACTTATTGCCTAAAACAAAAAGCATTAGTCTAGTGTAGATTATATTATGATGATTAAAATAATTTTAGCACTAGAACCTTGACTTGAATCACAACTTAGGCCCAGACATAGATAAATGGACAAATGTAGAATCGTCATTTAAAAGCACCACAGCTGCACAAAAATCACAAAGGAAACTGGTATACTGGTATAGAAAAGAATAAATTAGGCAACATCTATGTACAACATGCATTTACATTTTAATAATGGCAAGTGACCACTCCAGGGGCCATCTAATGTGTTGTGTTGCTGGCATCTGTGGGACAAAGATTGAGTAGCTCAAAGTTCCAAATGCTTTTCTTTGCCCTTGCTGCGATGTAAAAAGCGGCGAGCCTGCATGTCCTAGTTGAGTGCATGATGCTGTGAGTGGGAGACTTTCACCTATAGCTCAGAGGGGCTTTACCTCTAAAAAATATGGAGGAGGGCAGAAGGAAAGAGACATAACTTACTGTCTAGCCAGCAGAAGTGTGCTTCCTTCAGAAAGGATTCCTCTCTCACTATCCTCCAGAACCGAGTGCATGTGAGAGCAAGGGTGCAAATTGCAGGATCACCATCTTGTAACATGTCTTCACGTGCTATCAGAAATGAGATATTTACAACTTCTGAAATCGTAATTACGAGCTCATTAAACTCAAGTTCGAAATGGGAGGGTGTTCATGCAACGTTAAAACATGTTTTAACAAGGAACTCATTACGACAAGGCAACAATAACTTGGACCGTAAAAAACTATTGCTTACTTAACTTTAAACGAGGACCGATAAGTTTTAATAGATTATCAACTCTAGAAACAATACCAAAATGTGTATGAAAATGACTGACACATTTCATTTTAAACGGTTATCTGTGGAAAATATTCTTACCGTTGTCTCTAAACGAACTGCCATCTTGCCACTGATCTATCAGTGCATCTTGCCAACAACATCTCGTTCTTCTGACATATCGCGTGGTTCGGTGTGATTTGGACAACTTCAAGTTACGCCCAACTTCAAGTTACGCCCGACTTCAAGTTACGCCCCTCTCTTGCAGTCCGCAGACAGACCCATCTCGAACAGCCATTCATCAGCCGGTCACACTCAAAGCCAGTGTCATGTTTGAGAGGGAGGAGGTAGACTAGCCGCAGCGAGCGCACACACAGAGCGGCCAGAGAAACGGAGGAGCGACTTTAGTAAGGCGTTTGTGCAAAACTGCAGAGAAATTGCGGGTGTTGAACCCTCTCACTTGGAAAAGTGTGCGACGCCCCTGGACGTAGGACACTTGTGGGTAGTTTCAGCGTCGAGTCTTCTGAGGCGAGGAGAGCAGTTCACGGTATTCATCATCTTTACACAACCATCACACACACACACACACACACACACTTTATACAGTTTGTTTAAGCGACTCATTTCTGTATTGTTTTCATCGATCACAGCGATACTTGTGCGTATTTTCTGGCGTCTTCTCTCTGAAATAAACATTTAGTGCAGCAGCAGCGAGCATGAGGAGAATAATGAGGAGAATATGAGTAAGTTTCAGACCTGAGAGATTTTGAGTGCTTTTATGTGCGTTTGTGTGATTGTTTCGATGTTTGGAGTGAGAACTGTTACTGAATGTCAAGTCAAAAGTCAAAGTTTGAGATCTGTGAGTGGAATTGATGGGAATCTGTTGAATGACGCACACATAACTCGGTTTTGTATAACGTTGATACTTTACAGGAGAACTGGATTAATCACATGCAGTTTTTGGACCAACTACTACCACTGTACAGGTTCCGTGTCCTCATTACGGATTCCCGTAATAACAATTGCGATTCAGTATAGCTAAGAACATATAATCAATGTTCTACAGAATCGATCTGTCATTATTAAAATATACTGGAAAATATACTGCTTAATACTTATATTGAGCCATATTAAATATGAATTGAATATGAATATGATCCATGAATTGATGGATCGAACATGACAGTTAATTCACTTTGACATAGAACATTATAATTGTATATAATCTTTCTAAGTGAAGAGAAGGACGTGTAAAGGGAAGGCAGTGGGGGAATTTACTCTTTGGGCTGTGGAGACAAACGGCAGTGTGTGTTTGTGGTGTCCATATCTCAGGAGATCAAAGTATCTGAGGTTCTGTTTGTCTTACTAATTTTTTTGTCCAGAAAAAAAATGCATATTTATGATATTTGAACCTTTATAATGGGCTTTCCCCCCCTAATCGTTTTAAATAAGTTTCATATTTAATTTTAAATTATTAAATTAGATAAATAAATAAATGGTTAATGTTAAATGTATTTTCTTTATCTCAGCTTTGTCCAGAGTAAAGGTTTTGCTTGCACATTCCTTTATGTAAGTCAAACATCTGTTGTTCAGTAAGAAGGACCTCTGTTCTTCTGGAGGAAGGGTCTTTTCTCCCTATTCTAAAGCATTGAATAGCCTTTCTGGACCCACAAGCATTTGTGGAGATTTAGACGGAAACTGACCACATATGGAATTGTTATGTAAAATATAATCCGATATGAGATGATGTCATTTATGATCTTATTGGTTGAATAACGAGAAACTCCCTGTACAGTAACTATATTTTCTATAGGCTGAGTATTGGGAGCTAAGCTATTTTCCTAGCTTCCCAGCGCTGGTCTTTTTCCTTTGTTTTATTCATTCATTACGCTCAATAAAAGGATGGAGAGAAAAGGCACTTTGAGTTGGAAGACTTTATTTCTAACAGTTAATTGAATCTTTGACTGAAAAAAAATTGTTCAAAGCTCTGAATCATTCAGATGAAGTCACGGTTATGTGTTTCTGTGAGATGTGTTACGGTTCTTCTATTATCTTTGTTTGGAACTATTTTCGCTGCTGAAATGGAACAAAAACAGTCAGTATCGGGTCTAAAATGTAAGTGACTTAGGCCAATATTAATTACTTGTTACGTTCCACATACGTTTTTGTAATTTTCTTTTTTCCTATTGTGCTTTTGTTTCTGTTTTTTTTTTTTATTCTTAGGTTGTGATCATTAGCTGTCCATCAGTTACTGTACGAAAAATAGATAGTGTTGTAGAACATTTTAGATTTTCAGTGGATATTACAAAGGAATGTCATATGGTTTTATCATTTGCAGTCTGATGTGAGAAGGAGGAACTTCTCTGAAATGTATTTATGTTTATACACCTGAAGTGCAGGAGCGAGACACTAGAACCAGATGGGCAAGGACCTCTGAGGTCAGAAGGTCATCTAGTTAAAGAGGGCTTAGTTAGTGATATATCAAAGCTAGCAGTAAAGGGCATTTTGTCTGTGGAAAACTACTGGGAAGCTCTGCAGGGAAAAGGACCTTGAAGAGCAGCATAAAGATTGCCCATTTCTTCCTGTCTGTGTCTCACTCACTCCACAGGGTAACTGCTGTGTTGATTCCGAGTTGTCTCTTACGCAGTGATGATGTTTAACAGAATTTTTGCCACAACAATAGACAGACATAAAAGCTTAGAAGTGTCATTTATTATAAAAACAACTCCGTAATTGTTATTTTTTATTTTGGCAGATCAGCTCCTCCCACTGCAATCACATCATCAGTGAAGCTCCTCCTACTGTAATTCCCCAATAAATGCTGTAAATTCCCATCAGCTACAAGTGAAGACGAGCATGAAAGCATCAGGAAGAGCTGAAATCTGCCAAGACTGAGTTTATTAAAGAGGACAGTGAGAACATGAGTGATCCAGAACCCTGCAGAATGAAACACACTGAAGATCCTGAAGAACAAAGAGGTTGGTGTTTATTCTTCATTCATTCATGATGCTGAAGAACATTCATGTTAGAAACATTCAAGCACTTCATTACATTTAGATAAACAGTTAAACTATGAAATGGTACAGAATGTTCTGGTTTTTCTTCAACAAATGGTCAGTAAATGGAGGTTTGAGACATTTTTATATTGATTGTCAACATCAGATCAGATGTTTGTGTGATAGACTACAGGCTCTGTACTAAATGTAACAATTATTAAACACTATATTAAAGGCACACTGCGGAACTTTTGGCCACTAGTGGCGCTCGACCTGTAACTTTCACGTCTAGCGTCCCTAGAGGCCACAAGCTCCGCAGCACTGTCGCAAAAGTCAACAAACAGTCAACCGGTCCGCCCATAGACAGTGGGTCAGCCTCCCGTGTCTTTAGATTGTGTGTGCTTGCAGTGTTTGAGGCGGGCAGCCTGGCCGCGCTCGATTCCCTTATAGCAGTCTGCTGAGAGAGAGCGAGCGGCTTAGTGCTAACATGTCTGTGAGTGAATGTGGGCGCGGGACGGCGGGCCGGGCACATTTACTGCTAAAAACACCGTCGGCCTGAGCTGACTAACTTATGTGTGTTGGTTTCGTTTTACAGAAACCGTGGGACATGTTGTGTGTAGTGTTTGTGGGCACTGAGTCGTGGGAACGTTCACTACATTTAATGTACATTTGACATGAGTCGATTTTATTTGTTCGAGCCCTGCACTGTGGCGGGCTGTGTTTGTGTGTAGAAATGAACAATGGGCTGTGGGCATTTTATTACACTCATAACACCATCGGCTGTGGCCGGAATACCAGAAAATACTACACTGCTTATATGATTTATCTGTGTCACCTTGGAAACGGCATTTGTGTGCAGGCAAGCGTTAGCATCGGTCGGGCACCCCTCCTCCTCCTGTAGCTCACGCCAGCGAGCGAACGCTGGACCAATGGTGATCCTCGTCCTGGCTTTTCATTTGTCACTATGCCTTTTTCCTTTTTTTAGTGTCCTCTGACAAAACCTTTGCCTTCTTCCTTTTAGCTGTTGGTTCGGCCATGACGAAAACATACAGACGGCAATCAAACGCGAGTTGAGCACTCACGTCAGAATCTGAGGAAGTTGTGGGTGGTGGGGGAAGTGACGTATGCCGTAAAGCGGTCGAATTTTGTAGTTCTTTTTGTGCTCGGGTTCCTACCCGAAACCCGAAGTTACATAGTGCTAGGAAAAGCGATACAGACACCTTCAGGCTACGGCAGACGTGTCATTCAACCTATTGTAAGTCGATGTACCATCTCAATGGGTTTTGGTAATATATTATAAAGGTTGAAAAGTTCCACAGTGTGCCTTTAAATTTAAATAACAATTTAGATTTATAAACAACCAGCTTTTCAAAATAACAGTTACAATGTGCAATTTTAACAAACTATACAAATATTTAAAAATATTTGTGCTAAAAAGTGCAAAACAACAACTGAAACAACTGAATTTTAACAAACACTATTCAACTATAAAACAATGAAGTGCAAAACAACATTGTCAAAATGCTGAGGTGGGAATTTACAAACAACTGTTAATTTAAAGCTGCAGTCCGTAGCTTTTCCTCTTTGTCGCCATCTCTCTGTTCGAAATCGGTAACTGCAGTGATTCACGGAATTATCATCTTTACGTGGGTTGTAAATCGGCATGAAACAGCGCGGATGAACACAGTGCTTTGAGGCGAGTGCTGCTGTCAGTCACCGCGCTGTGTGGATACTGGCATACAGAATCACAGATTCACTTTTTGAAAGTTTGACCAACATAAGAATTTTCACCAGAAAATGTCGTCTGAACAAGTAAGTAACATCCATTATTGTTCTGACCAACTAAGGGGGGAAAAGCATTCGATATGATAAGCTTCGTTAGATTTAATCAACGCGATTTACAGCAACCGTGCAAATTATAGCCTACTTTGTTCTCAAATTGTTCATGTTAACAACATCAGCATTGCGTGACTAATGTTAAATTTAATGTGTTTTATGGTTACCTGTGTAGTTCAGAATTCATATTCTCCATAATAGCAAAACGAGAAAGGCACAACAAAGGAAACTCCATAACTGTGTGAATTAAGAAAACGTACTGTTACACGATTGAACTATTGAAATGTCTTACTTGTTCAGCAGAAAAAAGCCGTCTCTTCTTCCGTTTTGAACCCCTTCAAAACACGGAGTTCACGCACTTTTCAAAAGCCCCGCCGATGTTTAAATCCTTGTGTTCGCATGAGACGGTTTCTTTCTCTTTCCACCTTAAAGGCTCGTACACACCGGGACGAATATCGGCGCGCGTTATTCGTCAGCGTTTTTCAACGCGTTTTTTGTGTTCACACCCAAGCGATTTTCGCTGACGATGAGCCGAGTGAACATGCAAATTCATTCCCTGACATTAGAGGGCGCTTAATGTAAAACAGAAATACCCCGGTCCACAAAGTGGCGCTGCGCAACTTTACGCTTCTGACACTCACTTGTCACTCAGAAGAAGAGAGCAAATTTGTTGCGTTTGTCATATAGTTCTTTATTCTCGTTGGTGTCTCTTTATATAGACACCAACGAGACCAGCAGCTCTACATTCATCTTGCCTCGCATCCTCCTCGTCTTATTTCTTCCCGGCGCCGGCAGTGTAGACGCTGTATATCTTCTTCGCCGTTACATATGTGTGCTCGGCAAGACCGTTTTGTGTTTGAGCGCCCCCAAGTTGTGTTTTACTGTAACTTCGGAAGCTCCAGACATGTGAGCAAAAGCGCCAAATTTATTTGTTCGGATAGTGTTTGACGCGGTGCGTCAAACCAAAAAAACGAACCCGAGGCGTTTTTTTTAAAATGACGCTTTTACGCGTGGTGTTTTACGCGCCGGTGTGCACACTCACATTGGCACCCTTTGTTTAGTCACGAGGCGTTAAACGTCGGCGAATATCGCACGCGAAATTCGTCCCCGTGTGAACAGGCCTTAAATCCGAAGTACGAAGTCTTTTGGGTTTTATAACTGCTATAACACACACAATATAGCCGGCTAGCCGAAACTCCTTTATGTGTACGGGTGTGACGTAATGACGCAAAGACATGCTCGAATTTTCCCGCGGAAACCCACCAGTACCACTGGAATTAAAATCATTATTACAAGCTAACCGTTTTGAATCTAGCTATGGCAAGCAGATAGTTTTGACCACTGGCAGAATATGTTTTTTTTAATATAATTATTTTGGATTATTTTTAACTTAAAGTTACGGACTGCAGCTTTAAATAAAATATGCTCTAACAGCAACATTACTCACTAACTAAAGTTTGAAACATGGAATCACGAAGAACGGGCCCTTTTATATGTTAAAATCGACGTCATTGTTCGTTACTGTGTTTAGTTTACGGTGAAGGAAGCCTCAGAGCCACGCAGAGCTGCGGTGTATGCAATGGGCGTTTTTGTTTTCGACGCGCTGTACACGGTAGGCCAATCACAACAGACTGATCTGTCTGGCCAATCAGAGCAGAGTAGCTCACGGAAAGGAGGGATTTAGAGAGATTGATTCATTTGACGAGTCGTTTGAGAATCATTGAAAATGTGATTGAAATGAATCACATGAATATGTGAGGAAATTAAACTTTTTTTTTTTTTTTACATTTGATGCGTGTAAACATGTTGTAGGAGACTCTACAACAACATTAGGAAACTTTAAAATGCCATAAGGGGCCCTTTAAAATAATCACACTATGGCAATTCAAATTGTGCGTTGCATAGAAAATAAACACAAAATAAAAGCAAGGGAAATAAAAAGTTAAAAAAGGAATTAAGATAGATTCTTTCCCTCTAGCGCCACCAGCTGTCCAAAGTGGCACTCATGTTTATGGTAATAACTTTTGAACCACAATGGCTAGAAACAAAATTATTTTCCCTCTTATTCCCTAGCTCAAGATGATTCAAATGCACCCTATGACGTCATTTTCGGTCATGGAAATTTTTCCGCCATTTAGAATTTTTCGAAAAACCTACTTTTTAGTTATGGAAATAAAGCTGATTCACTAAACCGTTTATTTTTTTTAAACATCTGTTTATTGATTTTTTTCAGTGACATATCAAAATCAAGAGGTAACAATTCGGGAATCAAAACAGTGTCAAGTACAACTAACAAAAAACAAAAATTAAATTAACCCCCCACCCCCCAAAAAAAACTAAAAAACTAAAAAAAAAACACACAAGAACACAAAATGGTCACCTACTGCTAAATAAAAGCCCAATATGTTCGCTTACAGAGAGATAAATAAATAAATAAAAAATCACAGCATGCTACTAACTCACACAAGACTCACAATTAGAAGGCAATCAGGCTGGCTACTCTGAGATAGCGGTAAAAATCAATCCCTCAACATATGTAAAAAATGGACCCCAAGTTTTATTGAACTTTGCATGAGAAATATGTATCGAACACCTAACTTTCTCCAACTTCACGAACTGAAGGATGTCCCTGATCCAAGACGAGTGAGAAGGCGGTGAGGGAGACTTCCACCTCAATAAAATTAAACGTCTAGCCAATAAGGAGATAAAGGCTGCAAAGTCAGCTTTATATTTAGGCAGCTGAAAAGTAGGAGGTAGAACCCCAAACAAAGCGGTACATGCTGTTGGATCAAATTGAACCCCTGTACAAACAGAAATAGTGTTAAATATCTGTGTCCAAAAATTATGTAGTGAAGGGCAAGACCAGAACATATGGGCATGGGTAGCTGGAGCTTGACGACATCTAACGCACATGGGATCGACATCATTATAGATTTTGGAGAGCCTAACTCTAGTGAGATGGGTACGATGTAGAATTTTGCACTGGGTCAGACCATGTCTAGCACAAATTGATGAGGAGTGAACCCGACGCAAAATGGCATCCCATAGCTCTTCCGAGATCCCCTCCCCTAGATCCTCCTCCCATTGGGTTTTAATTTTATGCTGCGGAGTAAGCTGCAAAGAATAGATAAGATTATATAAACATGAAATAGCACCCTTAATGGTAGGCAATGGGGTTAAAAATGAGTCAATTAGAGAGGACTCTGGGGGATTTGGGAAGTTGGGGCTAAGATTGCGAGTGAAACTTCGAACTTGAAGATATCTAAAAAAATGCTGCCTAGGCAAATGGAATTTCTCTGAGAGTTGCTGGAAGGATGCAAATGTACCAGCAATATACAAGTCCCTAAATGCCTTGATGCCGTAGTCAGACCACAAAGAAAAGGCCCCATCGATTAAGGAAGGGTGAAAAACAGGGTTCGCTGATAAAGGTGCTAGGAAAGAGAATGTCTGTAGACCAAAATAGCGTCGAAATTGCTTCCAAATTTTAAAAATAGATTTAACTAAGATATTATTGCAAAAAAGGGAGGGAGAAAAGCTAAGAGGAGCGTGGATGAGAGCAGTTAACGAAGCAGGTTTAACAGAAAACATCTCCATACTCAACCATGTAGGAGAATCTGGTGCCCCCTCCAGAGAAATCCAAAGCTGAATTACTCTAAGGATAGAAGCCCAGTAATAAAACCTCAAGTTAGGAAGGGCCAAGCCCCCAAGGGTCTTAGGTCTCTGCAACAGCTCCTTTCGCAAACGAGGGACCTTCCCGTTCCAGATAAACTCAGTGATTAATTTGTCTAATTTGTGAAAAAAAGACTGAGGGAGAAAGATAGGTATGCACTGGAAGAGATAAGACAATTTGGGAAGAATATTCATCTTTACCGAATTGACCCTGGCCACAAGGGAAAGAGGCAACAGTGACCACCGTTGAAAGTCCATACGTATCTGATCTAACAAAGGGGCAAAATTATAATCAAACAGATCTTCAAATCGGTCACAAATCCGGATACCAAGGTATTTAAAGCCAAAAGGAACAATTTTGAATGGGAAACCCTGAGCAGCATTCTGGCCACCTTGATTTAAAGGAAACAGCTCACTTTTGTCCAAATTTAGTTTATAGCCTGAAATCTGACCAAATGAACTAAGGATGTCAAGAGCAGTTGGAACTGAGATAGAGAGATTGGATACATATAGTAATAAGTCATCGGCATAGAGGGAGACCTTCTGTTCAAGACCATATCTTGTAATTCCAGTGATGCGTGGCTCTGAACGAAGCGCAATAGCCAGAGGTTCAATAGCAACAGCAAATAAAAGAGGACTCAGAGGACAGCCTTGACGAGTGGAGCGGTGCAAAGGGAAATACTCTGAATGGGTGTCATTAGTTCTGACTGAAGCCATAGGGGATGAATAGAGCAACTTAATCCAAGAAATGAACTCCTGGCCAAAACCAAATTTATCCAAAGCGTAGAAAAGGTAGTTCCACTCCACTCTGTCAAAAGCCTTCTCCGCGTCTAATGAGATTACGGCTTCCGGCACCATTGATGTAGAAGGATTATAAACAACATTGAGAAGTCGTCTGAGATTAAAGAACCCATGTCTGTTCTGGACAAAACCTGTCTGATCAGAAGAAATTATTAAAGGCAAAACTGATTCCAGTCGCATAGCTAATAATTTGGACAGAAGTTTAACATCTACAGATAAAAGACTAATTGGACGATAACTTGAGCAAGACAGAGGGTCTTTATTCTTTTTTTAAGAGTAATGATATGGAGGCCTGATTTAGAGTCTGAGGTAATTTAAAAAGAGTAAGAGATTCATTGAACATTTCTATCAAAACTGGTGCTAATTTGTCAAAAAAGGTCTTGTAAAACTCCGTCTGAAAACCATCCGGGCCTGGACATTTTCCTGACTGCATAGAAAATGTTGCCCGTTTAAGGTCATCTATGGTGATTGGGCCCTCTAACTGCTCAATATCAGCATCTACCTTCACCAACTCCAGTGAGTCAAAAAAAAGTATCCAGGGCAGACAGATCAGACCCAACTTCAGAGGTATATAAAGAAGAGTAAAACCGTTTAAACTGATCATTAATTTTTTTGGGATCGGTAGTGACGCCAGAAGGAGTGTAAATTTGTGAAATCTGCTGAGAGGAGGAAGCCTGTCGAAGCTGATGGGCCAAAAGTTTGGTCGCCTTATCTCCAGATTCATAACAGTGTAGTCAGGAAAGAGAAACAGTTTCTTGCCTTGATGGAGAAGAGAAGCCTCGCTAGCCCGGCGCAAAATGTAATTCCTCACGTGAAAAAAAAGTGCACACGAATCACAAAGGGTCGGGGTGGTTTACCGTCACTGGGCTTGGATCGGAGAGTGCGGTGCGCGCGATCGAGTAGGGGCAACTCCCCCAGGCCAAGGGAGTCCATCAGCAGCTGAGCAATAAATTCGGTTGGGCGCCCTCCTTCGGCCCCCTCCGGCACACCTATCAGCCGTATGTTGTTCCTCCTCGCTCTACCCTCCAAGTCCTCACATTTGTCGGCCAGCAGTTTAACCTCGGATTTCAGCGTGGAAACTGTTGAATCCAGTGAAGTTAGCAGGTCGCTTTGATCAGTGCACGCGCGCTGCAACTCTGTGATAGTTTGATCATGAGAGCTAAGTTTTTGTTGCATTGGTTCAATTGCGTGTCTCAGCTCCTCTCTTACCGAAGAAATGTCCGCACGAAGCTCGCAAGACAGCAAGTCTATTTTTCCGCAAATGTCCCCTTTCAACTGGTCTAACATAGCTCGTAGGTGATCCAGATTGGGCGCACACTCGGGGTCCGTGACCACCTTTGGCGGAGATGCGGGCTCAGTCGAGGGAGAAGCCTTAGCATGGCCTGTGCGAGCCGAGTTTCCACGTGCAGCTGACATTGTCGATTGAAATTCCCCCAAAACACACCAAAACTAACCCAGTACTTGTCACAAATGTACACCGGCCAATTTAGTGAAAATAAACTGTGTTAAAAAGTTAAAATAAAACCAAACTCGCGGAGCAAAAGGGAGACACGTCCTACATGCTCAGTGTCCAACAGCGCCCCCCTATTCACTAAACCGTTTTTGATAAACGCACGAAACAATTTTAGGTAGCGCTTGCGAAAACAGACATAAGGCTGTATCTCCGCAACGCTTTATCGGATTCAGACAAAACTTGGTACATGTCATCACAAGCATGACCTGAGGATACGTGCTGCGTTTCGGTGCATCGCCACCTACTGGTCCGGAGATATGAAAAAAAAAATTTTTTGCTTATAACTTCTGAACAGTTTGTCCAAAAATCACAAGATTAGTCTCGTTAGATTCAGGGCATCATGCCGAGTCGGCTGATATCCAATTTTCCCAGATCAGCCATTTTGGCTGTCTGCCATTTTGAATTATGTGCAAAAATGCTGTATTTTAAGAAACGCATGAACAGATTGTTACGAAACTTGGCATGGGTCATCAGTATGGTGCCCTGAAGGAGCCTGAGAAGTTTCAAAAAAGCACCACCTAGTGGTAAAATTAAGTTTTCAAATGCTTATAACTCTGGCTGTCGTTGACTTATTTTCACGGGAGTCATATCTTTAGACTCCTGAATCCTTTCCGAGATCAATGATACCAGACTTGCCAGGTTTCGGCATATGGTTTGTGCAGCGTTGTAATTTAGCGCTTAAAAAATATTTGCGGATATCTTCGAAACCGCTAGTCCGATCGAGACGAAACAACCGTCAGAAGTTGTTGATAGTAAGGGGTAATAATATTGAAAAAATATGAAAAAATATTGATAGTAAGGGGTAGTAAAATTCAATCAAAGTCACGTGTCAGTCATTTTTGACCTGTTTTTTCACATAAATGTCTATAACTCCGAAGCAAATTGAGATTTTCACCAAAATTGACACAAAGATGTATGGGCTCACTCTGAGGACACATGAAAAAAATGGTGGGACTGAGCCTCTTGGTGGCGCTGTAACAGAACAAAACATGAAATTCCCATTGACTTCAATACAGTTTTGTGATGTAAATTGCTATACTTAATGAATCCATTACTGTAACATTACGAAACTCAGAATGTGCCATCATCACCATGCCCTGAAGGTACTCAAAAGATTTCGAGACAGCGCCACCTTTTGGTCAAAAGTTATAATTAAATATCCAAAAATGCTAATAACTTTTGAATAAATTTGCCTTTTGTAATGACACTGGTCTTAATAGTTTCCTTGGGGCATGAAGAGAACACAGATACCAAGTATGCCATATTTGGCTGAACGTCCTGTCAGCCATCTTGATTTCCATTCAATACCTACTTTTTCAAACTCCTCCTAGACCGTTTGTCCGATTTTCACCAAAATCGAATCGTATCATCTCCAGACCGTGCCGACAAAAAGTTATGGATTTCGTGTCGATAGACAAAACCGTTTTCGTATACTGCAGCAGCAAAGTTTAGGCATGATGCCAAATGGACTATTCAGGCTTTATATCTGCAATACCTCGACATATTGACACCAAACTTTGTACGTGTCATTGTCACCTCACTCTGACCACACCGCATCAACCCTTAACTGCGCCACCTATTGGTTTAAAGTGATAAACCATTATCTTGTAAGTTACAATCATCTTGTAAGTTACTGTATAAATGGTTTTTCAGCCATTTTGCCAAAATTCATCTTTAAATGTCTTTACTTGCTCAAGTTGGTCTAACTTTCCCAGCCATGTTGGCATCTGTTGTCATCTTGCGCTTGGCCCCGATAATTGCTGCTTGCAGCTATATTTTAATGTTAATATCATGTCAGACAATTGTGTCATTGATCAAATATATTTAAAATAATTGGAAGGTAAATTAACCTCATTCATGGAAAATGACTTATACTCAATTTATAAAAAGGCATATATATATTATATATTTTATAACAGTCGTCTACTTTCTACCATTACATCATGGCTCACTTTCATGTCTTTTAACATTTTATATTTCTCTCTTTGAATTATGTTGCTGTACTGGAAATTACATAAATAATAATAAATTCAATAATTTGTTTCTGTCATGTCAGACCTGATGGAAAAGAGCGAGGAGAGTGAAGAACTGAGTGAAGTGGAGGAGGAACATCATGTCCAACCTGGAGAAAAACCTTTGAGTCGCTCAAGGACTAAACAGACATTTTTAAAGAAAAGACGAGCCAAGAAATCTTTCACCTGCACTCAGTGTGGAAACAGTGTCAGAAGCAAAGCTAGTCTTGAGATTCACATGAGGATCCACACCGGAGAGAAGCCGTTCTCATGTGATCAGTGTGCGAAGAGTTTCAGTCAATCATCACACCTTAATGTTCACATGAGGATCCACACCGGAGAGAAGCCGTTCTCATGTGATCAGTGTGCGAAGAGTTTCAGTCAATTATCATCCCTTAATGTTCACATGATGATCCACACTGGAGAGAAGACGTACACATGTGATCAGTGTGGAAAAACATTTCTTAGGTCAACAGAGCTGAAGACACACCTGACAGTTCATACGAAGGAGAAGCCGCATTCATGTTCTGTGTGTGGAAAGAGTTTTTCACGGCTGCAAACTTTACATAAACATGAGAAAATTCATACTGGTGTGAGAGAGTACATGTGCTTTGAGTGTGAGAAGACTTTTACTACAGCGGACGGTTTAAAAAGGCACCAGAGAATTCACACTGGAGAAAAACCTTACAAGTGTTCACACTGTGACAAGAGATTCAGTCGATCAGAACATCAGAAAATGCATGAGATGATCCACACTGGAGAGAAGCCGCATGTATGCCATCAATGTGGAAATAATTTCACAAACAAACATGCTCTTGATGTTCACATGATGATCCACACCGGAGAGAAGCCGTTCTCATGTGATCAGTGTGGAAAGAGTTTCAGTCAATCATCACACCTTAAAGAACACATGATGATCCACACTGGAGAGAAGACGTACACATGTGATCAATGCAGCAAAACATTTCTTAGTACATCACACCTGAAGAAACACCTGAGAATTCATATGAAGGAGAAGCCGTATTCATGTTCTGTGTGTGGAAAGAGTTTTTCACTGCTGGAATACTTACATAGACATGAGAAAACTCACACTGGTGTAAGAGAGTACATGTGCTTTGAGTGTGAGAAGACTTTTACTACAGCACAATGTTTAAAACTGCACCAGAGAATTCACACTGGAGAAAAACCTTACAAGTGCTCACACTGTGACAAGAGATTCAGTGTGTCATCATCTCTGAAAACACATAAGATGATCCACACCGGAGAAAAACCTTACAAGTGTTCACACTGTGACAAGAGATTCAATCAGTCATCACATCTGATAACACATAAGATGATCCACACCGGAGAGAAGACGTTCACATGTGATCAATGCGGCAAAACATTTCTTAGGTCATCAGATCTGAAGACACACCTGACAGTTCATACAAAGGAGAAGCCGCATTCATGTTCTGTGTGTGGAAAGAGTTTTTCACTGCGGCAACATTTGCGTACACATGAGAAAATCCACACTGGTGTGAGAGAGTACATGTGCTTTGAGTGTGAGAAGACTTTTACTTTAGCAAACAGTTTAAAACTGCACCAGAGAATTCACACTGGAGAAAAACCTTACAAGTGTTCACACTGTGACAAGAGATTCAGTCGATCAGAATCTCTGAAAACACATGAGATGATCCACACTGGAGAAAAACCTTACAAGTGTTCACACTGTGACAAGAGATTCAATCAGTCAGCAAATCTGAAAAAACATGAGAGGATCCACACTGGAGAAAAACCTTACAAGTGTTCACACTGTGAGAAGAGATTCAATCAGTCAGGAGATCTGAAAAAACATGAGATGATCCACAGCAGAGAGAAGCCGCACACGTGTGATCAGTGCGGGAAGAGTTTCTCTATTAAAACTCACCTGAAGCTACACATGAAGATCCACACAGTGGAGAAACCACTTAAACACAGTCTGAGATCACGGTAAGTAGTTTATTTTCATGTGCTGAGCAACAAAGTCTCTTCTGTGTAAGTTAGCCACACATCACCCTATAGCCAAATCTCTCCTCTCCCCCTATAGTCGGTGTGTGTTGAGCACAGGACACTGTTGATTGATTAATATCTATTAACTCGTGTTCAAGCATCAGGAATGTCTAATTTGTCAGTTCAGATCAATGCAAAAAAAACAAAATGAGCAGTTAACATAAGTGTCTAGTATGAGTGTGTGTGATGGTGACCGCACTTTGTCTTTATGTGTTAGTTTGGGGTACTGATACTCCGCCTGAATAGTGTGTATATTGTGTCATTAACCTCTGGAATGAGTGTTTTATCATTACAAATGGGTTATGGTAAATTACTAATTTTAAAGAAGCTGATAGTTCTGAGTAAATCTGATTAAAAGACAATACAGGACATGGGACGAGCTTTAAGTTGATTGGTCATCAAGCTCTGTCTGAAAGTAATTACTTTCGTCATTTATGATGTAGATTTGAATTACTTTCTGGATCAGTTTAAGGATTGATGTAAATTGGAATTGTGAAGTTGTAGATCGCCGTCCATCATGGGTTGAGATAAACTAACATGTTATAGATTTGACGGCAACAACAAAGTGACATATTAGTCAAGTCAATATCAAATTATCAAAAGAGTTCCTCAGATTTATGATTATTGTGAACAAAGGGGGAGAATGTTGTTTGACTGACATTGACCAAGTCTGTACACCACGACCTGACCTGATAGAAACCATTGATGACTGAAAATGTATGACTGATTTAAGGGACCAAACAACAGGCCAAATTATTTTTTGTTAACATGAGCATCATGGGTTGAGTGTTTTTCAGGGGAAAAGGACCCTGAGTGCTATTAAGTGAGCAAGAAATTATCTGATCATAATGTTTCAGGTTGTTGAATTGGCCAAATGTTGAGAATAAATTTGGAATACATAATGCATATCATCAGCAAGGTAAACAAATGGTGAAAATTCCACAGGTCACACCAAAAGGGACCAAAAGGGACGACCGGCTAGACAAGCGATACTAAAAAATACTTGTTTTAAATGTCTCCATTCACAGGTGACAGCAGCAGGAGATGGTCCACTGTACAAACATGGTTGAAAGGTTGGAGATTGTGACACTTCCATCCAAACATCTCACCTTAAACTACACTAACCAACCTCAGCAAGCACACACGCCAACACAAAGCATAAAGTGAGGGATCAAGGACGTGCTAGTAACGTACCTCCCCTGCCAACGAGGGAAAGCCCATGGCAACGGCTCGTAAAGAGCCACCCTGGAGAAGACTGATGCCCATGGGGCGACGAGATGATCAACACACCTAGAGGAGAATGTGGTCCAAATAATGGTTTAAGTTTAGTTTTTGTGATGATTTTGATGATTTTATTTGTTACTGTGCAAATGTTTTCAGGAAAAGTAGAAAATCTATTAATGTAATAAGCTAAAAAGATGGTCCGTAATTGGAAAAAGGCTGAATGTGTAGGAGTTAGGATTGTATGTGTTGTTCTGATAATTTTGTTATTCATGGGTGAATACGACTGGTGAAAACTGCTGTCTATCCCAAGGATGAACAAAATTATGCAGATGATTCGAGTAGCGGAAGTTACAGTGAAATGTATTAATTATGTACCATTGTTTTTGTTGTTGTTTTTCCTTTTCTTTCTGAGGATGATGATATGTAAAGAGTAACGAGATGGCATAAGGACAGGGTTTGAAATGAGGGATTTTTATTATACTTTTAATCTTTGCATTTTTATTGTTGTGTTGAATTGATATGGTCTTCCTACTGTGATCTATACTATTTATTGTTTATGCTGCGGTGACAGAGGGTCCAATTATTCGGAAGTGCGATAACAGTGCTTATCCATTTAGCCCGGCTTCAGATAAAGTCTTTACTTGCTTGATAAATAATTACTGGGCTTTCCCCCACAAAAACAGCCTTAAGCTTTCTTCTGTTAAATCCTTTCTTCACAAGTTTAAGAAGAGTTATGATGTAATGACTTAAACTTGCATTATTATTATTAGCATTATTATCACTATGTTTGATCAATCAGTTATCAGAGAATGATAAAAAGGAGGAATTATGACAATTTTTGTTTTTCATTGTCTTTCAGTAGATACTGCAAAAAGGAATGTCATATGGTTTTGCCATTTGTAGAGGGATAAGAGAGACTTCTCTGAAATGTATGTATGTTTATAAACCTGGGGAGGCAGGAGCGAGACACTCCAGAAAACAGACGGGCAATGACCTCCAAGTCAGGTCAGAGGTCATCTAGGTTGGGGGCTAAAGGGTTAGATAGCGATAAATCTGAACTAGCAATATGGTTCCTTTGTCTGTGGAAAACTACTGTGAGGAAACTCTGTAGGGAAAAGGGCCTTGGAAATAGTATAAAGATCGCCCTGTTCTGTCTTCAAGGGTGTCACTCTTTTGAACAGTGTAACTTCTGTGTACTGGACTGAACCAATTCTTGCAAGAATAAGAGTTTCTCTTACGCAGTGATGATGTTTAATGAGAATTTTTGCCACAACAATTCTCACAATAAAAACAAGGTGTTGTGCTTTTTGCCAAATAAAGAAAAATAAACATGATGCGAGTTCTGCCTTCTCTCTGTCAGTGAAGTCCATTCTGAAACGTGTCCGAAAATGAACTGTAACTCAGTCACACAGACATACGGGCCTAAAGCTTGAATTCTCTTTTAAATGAAGTAATTTATATAAAAAAAAAACAAATATTCTCAGTTTATGTAATCTATGAAGAGAGAGGTGTCCGTCATTCTCTTCTCAGCTCGAGCTCATTAAGTGTTAATGTGACACGCCCATGGAGAGCGCGCTATTCAAACGCAAATGATCTGAGGCAATCCATGAAAACCAGTCACCGCCCACATCAGCTGGATAAAACACAAAGTGTAATAAGAATCATGTACTCTACGTCATCTTGCTACGCTGTGAGGAATAATACTATCTTAATAATAATCCTGGGAAATTTACATCAGACGTTTCGGTTTCACTTCGAGGAAAACGATCCAACCGATTATTGTGAATAGTAAGTTCTTTATTTTGTTCTAATCACGATATGCAATAGTGTCTGTATACCGCAAGCAGTCTAAATATGAATACGAGTCTGTATGTGAACAAATGAACGGCGCTGTAACCAAAGGTGCGGTCTGACCCAATTTACAACATAACCAAAGGTGATCAGAAACTCCACCCTCATACAACAATGACCTGGAAGTCAAAACCAAGCTTGTGTCTTGACAAAAGCAAAACTGTATCACTGATCAGTGGAGATTGTGTGGGTGAAATATAATGTATTAGGCAAAAGCTCTATTGAGAAAATTAAAACATGGAAAGCTCAAAAAGCAAACAGCTAGTTCATGACTTTCAGAACTTAAATTATTCCTACTTCAAGCAGAAAATAAGAAAATGGACAAAACCAATGAGATGTTGTGTAATGAAGACATGATAGCTAGGACTGTAATTGTAGCTAGTCGGGATAAGTGACCACTGTGGTGCATCGGTAAGAATGCAACTGAATGCTCTTCTTCTCTTCAAGGGATTTATTGACAGCTAACAGATGATTATCTGTCTTCGTAATTGTACAGTATGTGTGTGGTTCTATAATAAACAATAAAGAAAAAGAAAATATCAGCATACAAGTAAACGACAGTGCTGTCAGGATGCTATTAGTAAAGCTAATAAAAGTATTAGTATAATTTCCCTTCAAGTAGCTTTAGCTGTTTATATCAAATAACCAAATAATATACTAACACACATTAGCTGCTTATTAAATTAAAGAACAGCCTTCTTACGGCTGGGTCTCAGTAACAGCAACCCAAAAACATAGTTCTCTACACCACAATCATTGTAAACACACCCAATAATAACTATACAGTATCAGTTGAATACACACATAAGCACAATAGTAGTGTAACACTAATAATACTAGGCATTAGCATGATGCTAGCGAAATATATGCTAACATACTGCATTTCAACTGAGTACCTCAGAATAAACAACACTCATAGAAAATATAATACACCAAAAATACACATATGTAAACATTTTACCAGGGTACTCACATGTTACTGAACGCACACCTGCACAGATAGCGACACAGATGACAACTATTTACTTCAGAAATATCTACGATGTGATTCCCGGCAACTCTCACTACTGACTCAAAATGAAACTTATCAGTCAGCACAAACAGGTGTCCTCTCCGTGACCCCAAACAAAGGTGCTGATTGGCTGATCCCCGTTACCCTGAACATTAATAGTGAGTCCTTCTTCACAGCCGCCCCCAAATTAGCACTGTCAAATTTGCTGTCCCATAGAAGGACCGGTGGTCTCAGGTACCGTCTCAGGTATGGCAGGAAGTGGGACAAGACGTGCAACTGGCCGGGTGTAGTTTCTGTTGTTAACCTGGATCTCCGCTGCCCAGGGGCGTAGGAGCAATTTTGAACCTGGGGGGGACAGTAAATGCTAGGGGGGGGGGGGGGGGGGGGGGGGGGGGGATAAATATAAAAATATATATTTTTTATATATAAGGCACTTAAATGCTAATTTCTAAAGACTTATGGGAACAGACTGTATTACTTAGTTTGTTTCTAAGCAGTGATTAAATTGGGATTTATTTAGGTGGGCTGTCCCTAGGGGGGTCCGGGGGTATGCTCCCCCTGGAATTTTTTTTGAAAAATAAACCATTAAATGGCACTTTCTGGAGAGTTTTGTGCAAAGAAATTGAGAAAATGAGTCTTACATGATATGTGAAAAACTGCAAGGTTAAGAGCATATACTTTGCATTGTTGTAGTATCAACAGGTATTAGGACATTTAGCATTTACATTACTGTTAATCAGTCATGTACTGATTAACTAAAAATTAAAAATTCAAATAAATGGTTGATTTAATTTCCATTAACCACCTAGCTTACCCCCCAAGGATAGATTGAAAAATAAAATCAATCTATCCTTGTGGAAAGGTTCCTTGGTAGCTAAAAGTAGGTCTAGCAAGTCTTATATTTCTGTAATTCACACAGATCAAACACAAATATGCTGCCTGAATAGATTGCTAGTTTATTTT